TTCAAAAATCAGTAGGCGTGTGGGAAGACAGACAGGTGTGAAGTGTGCGTGTATAAATACGTGTATATGTATTCTCCTGAAAACATGGCAGCAGTTTTCCTTCTTGTGCACTATTGTTGTTATCCCCTTAATCCTCTAGCAAATACCTGAGATGAAAATGCGGACTGATATTTCTAATGTGAAAATATAATAGAGTTAATTAACCTTTAAAATAAAACTTGGGGGTTATTTCCAGTAATTTTTACGTAAAGGGGAAGGGTAAACTTGTACTTGCTTTTTGTGTTGTTTATTTGAAGCAAGCCTTTTTCCATATTATATCTATGAAAATAATGTTAGAGTCATGAAAGACAGATTATCTGAAGAAATGATTATAACTGCTAAAACAGCAAAAGCTAAGGAATGCAAGCAACAGTTCTGAACTCCTTTGTTCAGATGAATTTTGATTTGGCCAATTTAGCTAACAGAAATGCCGGCCAAAATGTTGGTAATGTAAAACTGGAAGAAAAAACAGATAAGTATTATACTTTCCAAGGAGAAGAAGAATAGTTCTGTAGATAAGACCCGTTTGTTAACTGAGAGCTGAAAGATTCAGGCTGTCATTACAGATTTCACAGAGAAGGATGCTTAGGCTTGTCTTTTTCAACTAACATGCCAAAAGTTGCAAGTGTTGAGCAACTCGGAAAATCAGACTTCTTGTTTAATGCTTACATGTAGATGTAGCTACCTGATTTTATTCATAGATGTAGTTAAATTCCCTTAACCTCAGTGTATAATTCTATGTCTATAAAATGATGCTATTATATTACAGAGATATGAGGCTAATTCTGAAGCTCATTGAGTCTCATATAGAAGAAAAGAACCAAAGAAATATTAGCCTGTGTACCAACCAGATTTTCAGGATAGCCTTTATCTAGGAAAAGGTACTATGTTACGGAGAAGGCAAGTTTGTAGACTGATGTGCACTTTATAGATAGACTTTAAAGGAATGTAAAAAAATAAAGTTACAACTTCATAGTTTAGCTACAGATAGCAGGTTTTTATAGGTTATGTCTGTTTTAGACAGGGAGGATAATGACAGTAGGATTCACACATTATAATGATTCAGGAGGAAACTGCAGCCTTTCAGAAAGCCCATATTTATCTCATAGTTAACTACTTTCCCTTATTAATATTTTTAGCTCAGAGTTAACTGTACTGTTTAGTGAATACTTTTGGTCTATTATTATACACATAAAGAACTGTTTTTTCATAAAATCATTTATTGTCAGCTGATTTTTCACCTCTTCAAATGCATCCAGATAATATCAATATAGACATTTAAGATAAAAAAGCTCAGTGTTCTCTGTGTATTTTTGAATCTTCTTAAACTTTTCTTCTATTGTCAGAAAGTCTAACATACAGTTTAATCCATCTGCAACAATGAGCTTTCAGTCTGTAGGAGTAAAACAATTCTTATTCCGAAAAGATACCATTTGATCTTGCCGTCAGTACATCTTGTGTAGTGCTTGAATGGCCCTATTGTCCTCTTGTGCACTCAAAATGAATGAATTTATCTTTCAAAGTGGAACATTTCTTTCCTCTCTGTACCAATTCCCATTTCTGTTTCTGAAGGAGAGAACCAGACTGCGCTCTTGAAAGCATATAATTCTGAACCTTGAAAATTAGCTTCCAGTACACTTGTCGCTCACAAAGCCTAGTTTATGCCAAGTGTTGTGCAGTTACGATGAAGAGTTTGTTTGGACTATTACAGAAATAACTGCACTTTCACACACCTACAAAATCAGTTAATTTACCGTCTTCTTTGCCTCTGAAAATTGTATTCCTCACTCCTAATTTCTTAACCTTTGTGACATTCTTCACACTGAAATTCAGTGCTATAAGTTCTTATACACTTGTTGAATTAAAAACATGAAAACAGTTATTCTCTCTTCAGTGAGACTGGCCATACACTTTGAGTATGTGAACAAATTTTTGAGGGTTGGTGTTCCAGCTATTGGTAAAGACTTTGAATTTAATTTGTTTCATTTATAAATCCTAAGTTTTGCATTGGTAAGTTTAATACAAAAAGTTTAATGTCTATCTTCAAAGTAGCGACTGGTATTAGGGTAGGGAAAATGTAGGGCCGTTAAGCTTGAAAAAGGAAACTGAAGGGAATGTAGGGCAGAGATTTTTAAGATGGAATGGTATGGAATATGTAGATAAATAAAGGTTTGTTGATGTTTCTTGTAACACAGGAGCTAAAGCCATGACATGAAATTTTTCATTGTCAGACTAAAATAAACATACATGCGCAAAAGGAAGTACTTTTTTACACAACTGGTATTGGGGAAATTCAGGAATGTAGGAGGCTGTAGAGGTCTGAAAGCATGAACCTTTTTAAATTCCTTGAGGATGCGACTGTCAATGACTACTAAGCGTGATGGCTTGGCAGCAGCTGTTTGTTCAGGGACTTTGAGATGGAAGTCCCTAGGTTGCTGGAAGCTTATCTGGGAAGATGAGAATGTCTCTTTTCTTATTTTACGTTCTTTTTATGACAGTCACCACTAGCAAGCACTTAAAGGGAAGCTGCTGCGTGCACTAGGTGAACTGTAGATCAGGCCCAACGTGATGGTTCTTGTGTTCACTCTTCTTTTCTTCATTACTCTTCTTTTACCCTCAGTAACCTCCAGTCTGGACCTGAGAGTATAGTAAATTCCTATTAATCGTGTTTTCGGGCAGTCATTCAGCTGTCACAATAACAAAGAATATGGTGCATAGTTATCCAGGCACAAGTATAGTCTTGTTACTGCCCTTTTAAAACCTGGCCTTCGTAGAGCCACTTACAGACAAATAATTGACGCATACATCCAGTTTAGGTCCTAAAAGTGCAAACTACTTAAGTGTAGAAAGTAAAAGGTTATGTTTTCGTTTTTGTCTTGCTCATTTGATTTAAGTCGCTGCTGCTAATAGAAGGCAGAATTTAGTAGTATTTTTCTATCTTCAATCTTTTTTTACCCTATATTTCATGCTTCTGTTTATGTCAGTGGCGATGTCTGACTTCAAGAATGTTTCACTGCTACAGAGCATGCTGTCAAGTTCATGCTCAAAAAGAGATTATGCTGCCCACTCCTTTCCCATAGAACTGATCTTTGAGGATGAATTAGGGACTGTGTAGGCTTCACAGAGATCTCTGGTCTTTTCTAAAGCAGATGTATCAGTATCAAAACCATTGATTTAAAGAAAAATGAGTGGGGAGAGGGGCTGAAGTTGAGGGAGAAGAATAAAAATGTGTATGTTACAGGGAATAAGAGTAGAGGTTAACTAGAATCATTTAAGAAAAAATAATTATACGAAGAATGGCTAAGCTAGAAAGATTGTTAGAAAGATTTTAATATTTATTAAATCCACACTAAAGTTCACACTTTGAATTACCAAAGAAGTATTTGATGAATTTAATCCTGTTGCTGATGTACTTAAAATATAACTAAAAAAAAAATTTATAAAAAGGCAACAGAAGGTAAGCTTTTTTTTTTTTTTTTAATCCTTTGAGTCTGGCAAGAAAATATTAGGTGACTTTTCCTATGTTATATTTAATTAGTGGAAATTATGACATAAGTATTTTCACCTTTTAAATTTGTTCTAAAAATGGAGACTATAATACCTTTAAGGGTAAGGAGTCTTTATTTCTCTTTGAAGACCTTTGTTCCCTAATGGGATACAATTAGTACCTCCATTTATTTCTGCATAAGCTCACGTTTATATTTTCTGTTAGTTTTTGTCTTACCAATCCTGGGTAAAATGATATTTTTATTTGCTAATACCTGAAGTATGTGAATGAAAAGATTTTTGTGAATTTTTTTCTGCACGTGAGCTTTAATGTTGTTACAAAATTTGAAAATCTTATGAAGAGAAACTTGTCAGTGATGCAGATTTAAATATGTATTTAGTAGAAAAACAACCCACCCTGTAAATGCAAGTAACTCTACTGAAACTTTCCTGTACACTGGCCGTATTTGTACCTGCTCATATCTGCTGTCACCCTCCTATCTTTTGGGAAGTGACTTAGTGAACATCTTGCAAATGGCCAGATGTGTGGATTTGGCTTTTTTGCTTGGGTGAGGATTTTTTCTTGCTGATGCAGTTAGTGTTTCCAAGAAGTTGACTAATATTCCGAGAAACGTGAAATAAACGTGTGAAGGTGATCACTGTTAGATGAATATCTAAATTAGTTTAAGAAGGAAATAATGATTGTATTCAGAATATGTCAGAAATAAACATATATGACTGAGTGATTCCAAAATGCCTGTATTTAAGAGAGGCTCATAAGAGCTCACTAAATTCTTTTTGCAGGCTGTTGTAATGCAAGATTGGTTTTTTATTTTAAGTACCTTTTATTAATGGAAAAAATAATCATTTATCTCAGTTCTCAAGCTTTTCAGGCAAAAGTGCTTAATGTCTCTAATAACTGGCCCACAAATAACTCTTTGGCTATTTTAGCTATAGGACTTTCCTCTAAAACATGTTTGACATATTTAGTTTGTGTGATCCAATAGCAGTATGAACAGTCAAAAGTTTAAGAACTAGAATTTTTATAAATGGTGTTAAAACATTCTGTTTAAAAGCAGGCGAAGATGCTGTCAATGTGAAGGATTTAGATATATAAACACGATTTAGCCCCTAAAGCATGATTTAAGCTAGGTACTTCTGTGCTTTTAGATCCACGTTTTAATGCAATCTGTTATTTTACCTTTTTCCCTTTATTAATAGCTATAGTGTGTGTTGCTTCTCCCATTCACAATCAAGCAAGATCATTCTAGCAAGTTTCAAAATTAGAAGGATAGTATTTGGATGTAATTTAGAATAGCTTTAGTTATCCCGTAATGAATTAGGAAGAGCTTGCATGTTGTTGCCAAAAAGTGTACTACTGACCCTGCTTTTTTGGACCATGCTGGTTTAATTGTTTTGTGTATTTTCTGATTCTTGAATGACTAAAAGCTCTAAATTTTACTTCTTCTCCTTAGGATTTTAAGACAGGATTTGGTATCACTTTAATCCCTATGAATGTGGCAAATGTGAAACAAGTGGATCGGACTGCAAAGCAATCTTTTGAAATAATTACTCCCTATAAAAGCTTTAGGTGAGAACTGTAATATTTACATTTAAAAATAGGAAAATGGTGGTTTAACCTGGTTTGAGTGAAAGAGTAATGCTTTTAGTAAGTATACTAAGCATTTTTTTTAAAACAGAGGGATTTTCTTTCCTTCATTTAGCTGTGCACTTCATCAGTTATGTCCCTCACTAGACATCGTATGCCCACAGATTCATATTTTTATGTAGGAGTTTTTGGTGATACTGTGCAAGGTCAGAAGAAAATAAATTACTGTAAAAACTTTATCTTAGAGAAATAATAAACTACAGTACTGAAAAAAATGCTGTAGTAGAAAGTTCTGCTTGCTCTGACTGAAGCTGTGACCTTTTATGATTTTTAAGAAAACAAAATAAAAGTGTATGCTAATAAAGATATGAAAGCCTTTTATTAAGTGCAGCAAGGGTTCTTAAATGAAATCTCAGTAGTACAGGAAGGGAAGAAATCACTTTGTTCTCCTTGGATTTCTAAATGTTAACCTTGAGATAGGAGACTGAAAAGCAAACAATTTCCTTTGATTCTCAGCGGACCAGAATAGCAGCTAAATTAGTCTTGATCAGTGATTCGAGTCTGTGGCTACTTGGTAGATAGCAAGTTCTTTGACTTTCTGTAAGCCATCACCATGTTTTTCAAAAAGATCAGTTTAAATGAAAAGCATTTTTTTGACTGTTATATGTAGCAAGTCTGTTTTACTGCTTAGTAAGTCTCCATGTTTCCTTAAGTCAATCTGTGCTGCTGTTGTAGTTCAGATTTTAAGTTTGTTATATGTTGATATAAAAAGATTGAAAGTAACTCAGGACCATAACGTGAAAGTTGCAAATACTACCTCATGTAGTAACTCATGCTAGTAGTGATTTTGCTGAAAACTGAACATGCAGATTGAGGGTTTTTTCACTAAATAACAATATAGAATAATTCTATTATAATAATAATATTGCATCTTAGTATTTAAATCTGTATAGAAGAGGATTTTTTTGACTTTGATTTCACATATAGATGCAATAAATAAGAGAGACTACAGACTGTTTAATTGGGCTTTAAAATAAAAATCAATAATGCAGAAAAGTCAATTGTTTCAGCTTTACAGCAGAGTCGGAAAGAGAGAAACAAGACTGGATTGAAGCACTGCAGCAATCAATAGCAGAAACTCTGTCTGATTATGAAGTAGCTGAGAAGATTTGGTTCAATGAGTCAAACAGGAGTTGTGCTGACTGTAAAGCTCCCAATCCTGACTGGGCATCCATCAATCTCTGTGTTGTCATTTGTAAGAAGTGTGCAGGTAGAGTAATTAATGATAGGCCATGTGGGTTCTCCAAAATGTCATATTTGCATACCTGCGCATGTCCTTGAGTCGGCTTTTTTATTTTTACAGTGCCATCCTTGCAAAAGTTTTGACAAACAAAAAATGAACGTAACTTTTTAATACCACTAAGTTCATCCTTATTTTAAAGCACTTTCATGCATAAATGACAGGTCTGCAAGGTGATTGGTGTCCCTCCGATGTATAATCTTTCACAATTAGTGGAAGTGAAGTCACGCTAGCATTTCTTGGGAAATGGCTGGCTTTTGCCAAGGCTGGATTCCAGTGAAGAATAACAATTTTCAGTGGACACAGTAAAGTATAAATTTGGGGTATTAATTCGACTACATCAGGCCATATTTTACTGTCCACCGGGATATCTTTTTTCAGATAGTACTACAAATCCACTTCTGTCATGTCATTGTTGTTGTTTTTTAAACATATTCTTAAGCAGTAAACGCAGGGAAATAGTTCTCTAGGTCCTTTCCTTTCAAAACAAACCCTTCAAAGGATATCTTACATCAGAAAGCCTACTTTGTTTATTCTTTACTGTCAAACATGTAAAATTTGCATGATATTTGTATAACCTGAGGAGGATGCTATTTCTGCTCCAAATACAATCCATTTGTATTTGGGGATGGGGATAGAAATTAGTGCTTTTTTTGTATATTCAAATATCAAACACAAGAACGATTATTCTTTTTTTAAAAATAACAGAATTAATCTGTCTTCATTAAAGTTGTAGTTTTGTTACCTCAGCAGAAGACAGACTCAGTTTAAGTGCTTTAATTAAGTAAAAATATTTTTTGTTTTCCAGGACAGCACAGATCTCTAGGACCAAGAGATTCAAAGGTCCGGAGCCTAAAAATGGATGCCAGTGTTTGGAGCAATGAACTTATTGAGGTGTATTGTGATATTTTTAACTCTCTGTTATGACGTGAAAACTACAGCATATATAGGAATTATTTATTTATTTTACTTGCAAGAGAACTGAACGTACAGATGCTAAATTATAATAAGCTTAGCCTTTCTGGGAATACTGTGCCTTTGAGTCATTCAAAATATTCATTTGTTTTGAGAAACATCTGTAGCATTTTCTGTTACCGTTTCCTGAAGCATATAGTTTTGGGAGGAAAAAGTCATGATAGGCAGGATTGGGAGTGGGAAAAGAAGGGAGACTGCTTCCTTGCTAGAAGGTTAGTTGCTATGGTGTATTTAGAAGTGATGCTGATATGTGGGGTTGAGACATCAGCGTATTAGCCTTGGTTAGCCTTGTAGAGCTTAGTTGGTATTGCTGGTAAATCATGACTATAGAGCTGTAGACACTTTTACTATTCATTTATAGGTCGCCGTAAGCAGTGACTTCGAGGCTTCCATTTTTTCTTCCATGCAATCTCTCTCCTGCATTCTTCTCTTTTTTAATACTTTTTTTACTTTAGCAAACATAAACTATTTAAGTGCTAGCTTGGTATCTTTTATGCTGTTTGTTTACTTTTTCTTGTGCTTCACTCAGATCTTTATCATCATTGGAAATAAAAGGGCAAACAGTTTTTGGGCAGGAAATCTTCCTGCAGATGAAGAACTGCACGTGGATGCCCCTGCAGAAAAAAGGATAGCGTTCATTACACAAAAATACAAGGAGGGAAAATTTAGGAAAGTGCCTTTTCTCTACAGAACCAAAGAACAGTTGAATAAGGTAATACTAGAATGGGTAAGTAGTATCTCTAGAATGGGAGAATACTCTTACCATGCCTCTTGTATTGATCTTTGTGGGTTTTGATCAACTTGTGAAACTAGTGAAAGATAAATTCAGGATCTTGAGCTGTATTTCTCACAGAGCTGAATAAGGCTTGTTATGGAGCCTTTACATACATCATTTCATGAAGTTGTGATTTCTTAGTGACAGGTATTCAGGGTCTGTCAAGTCTGTTCTCTCAAGCGCTAGACCTGGTATTAAAGGCCTCAGATATATTGAGTATAAAAGGCTCCAAGTTTTAATTCTGTATTAGGTAGCCATTGTTTGGGATAAGAGTGATTTAACTGCAGAGTAATCTTGTGATGATTTGAAAATAGGCCAGTAACACTGAGTGTATATGGTCCTTTTAGATACCCTGAAAGACTTGTGTACAGGACACCCTGTCTGTGGGTTTTAAAATGACTTCACCTTGAGTTTTCATGTAGGGAACAAGCAGCCAGATCCTGCCAGTGAGAATTAAACTCTTCTATTTTTTTAAAAAAGACCTTATAGGGTTGTTTTTTTTTTTTTTTTTTTTTTATATTTTTTTAAATTGTTTTTAATGTTTTTTTCCCCCCCCCCCTTTTTTTTTCTGGTTAGTTTGCTTGTAGAAGATTGTGGTACATTTATGGTGCCTATAATATGTTTTTATCAGTGCCATTGACAAATGTGTATCTTTGTTTTCAAATTCATACTTTATAGATGGAAATTCCCACTTCAGTGGGAATCACTTCCAGTGATTTTTATATCAAAAATGGAAGTGTTGTTTTCATATATTTCATAGGTTGTATGTCAGTTGCATACACATAAGAAGTCAAAACAAAGGCATTTGAAAACATTTTTTTCTTTAAAATACTTCAAGCCAAAGCATGGAACCACCTCTCTGTAACCCTTGAATTCAGGTTTGCTGTATTTCATTGGAATGAGAAAACATTCTTAGATTTCATGGGGAACTCTTTGCATCTTTGCAATATAAAACATTTGGATTTTTTTTTTATTTATTGGTGATAGCTGTGCAACAGACTTTGTTTTCTGTGATCAGCAGTTACGATATTAAAAAACAGAAAAAGTGTGCTGTATTTTGCAGACTTGATATTTCTGAAGTTGCTGCTTGTGTTGTTTCTGATGGAGTAAGGATGTCTGTCAATTAAGCATTTAACTACTGGGCAATATCATATGTAATGACCAAATTCTCTGCTGAGACCTGAAATTACAATGTAATAAGGTGGTCATTGCCAAGTAATTATTGAACCATTACTGAACTGTCTGCCTTGTCATCTCCTGCCTTCTCGATGTTTATACATTTATTAGAGCAGCTGAATTTTAAAAGAAACACTCTTTTTGTGTTGATAGATTTCTGCCTTAATCATTTCAGAAAATCCTGTTCATTAAATAAATAATTTAGATACATATTAAGTCATAGAAAAACTGTCATGGAGTAGATTGCTAAAGTTATATAGGTACTTCGAGTTCTAAGGTTGTGAACCAACATCTTTGAAAAAAGGATTTATGACGTTTGTCCGCCTTTGTATATAAAAACATGAAAGGGGTCGGATTTTTCAGGAAGTGCTGATATCTTTAAATCTCAGAGAAGATGGCCAAGTGTGAAAACACAGTAAACAGTGGTCACCTTATTGACTGAGACCATGAATTAGAAAAACTCTTAACGAATTTCACTATGGTTCCTAATAATAGAGTTTAAGGATCAGATCTTGTCTCTTTAGTTGAACTTCTAGTGTATAATGATAAAATATTCTCTTTAGTAGCTTGATGTGTGATGGGAGGTGAAAAGGACCTTTTGACAAAAACAGCAAGCTGCCCCTCCAATTATGGTAGTTCATGTTAGACTGCCCAAGTGAAACTGGTGGTAGCAGCATCTTGCAAGGTTTGGTTTTTGAACACTTGGGTGTTTTTTGGTTGGGTGGGTTTTGAGTATTTTGTAGATTCGCACCATACTTCGTGATTCCTGCCACTTCCTAATGTTTACAGTCTTTGAGGATGCAGGGGGACTATATCATAGGCGAAAGAATTTGCATCTAAATTGCAAGTACTTGTTGCCAATAATTGTCTAATTTAAACAGACAACTTCTTTTCCCTCTACATAATCAGGCCCTGTGTGCTGCAGTAGTTAAACAAGATGTGCTGGAAACTCTGATGCTGCTGTATAGTGGGGCTGATGTTATGTGTGCCACTGGAGATCCTGTTTACAGTACTCCATACTTACTAGCGAAGAAAGCTGGACAAAGACTGCAAATGGAATTCCTCTACCATAATAAGTTCTCAGGTAGGAAATATTCTCTTTGTTTTCATCTTCTGATGTTATATTGAGCAAAAGGACGGAAGGAATTCAGAAGAAAAAATGGGAACTGAGTTGAACAATGATGATATACGGGGGTCAGGGCTATGATGACGTTAAGTGGATTTTGGCAGACAGTAAATGTAGTTATGTACAAGTGACTTGTCTTTTGCTCAGACATGAACTTTAGGACTTCAAAAAGTAGTTGAATACTCGGTGATAACTCAGAGGCCTCATATCCCTGTTTTGCAGCGCAGGAAGAGAAACGTCATCTGTTCTGCCCGTATTACCAGGCTTTTACCTGAAAAAATGGCTATTTACAAGTAACATCCATCCAAAGCACTCCTCTGGGGGTTGGTGTTTGTTAAAAATGATTTAAATTGATACGTTCATCTCCTGCTCTCAGACCTACCTGTTTTCACAAACTCTCCTCCCAAAATATAAATCACCTTTTTAACCTGTAATAGGCTCTATCCCACCAAACCACCCTTTTCCAGTCATAACTTCTGTTGTAGCTCAGAGCACATGATAAATTTTGGGTGTGGCCGTGGTAGTGAGCAGGTCTGGTCTCAACGGGTGACTGTTATGAGGCTCTTGAAATCAGAAAGCTATTCTTAAGAAATTACAGATGTGCTTGAGTTTACCTTTTAAAAGGGCTGTCGAATACCTAACGTAGTCTGGGAATGAAAGTTCACACACACATTATACCGGAAGAAATTAGCTATGCTATACTGCAGCCAACAGTGCGGACATACTCCTGGACCTAGTTTATGTTGTCTCATGCAGCTCTGCAAAATAGCACTGCAATGGCTGAAAGACCAAATTTTTAGTGGCAAAATCCTGAATGATTTATGGCTTTCTAGAGCAAAAGCAATGCCTTAAGTTCTGCATGAACCCTGCTTTGAAAGAGGTGCAGTTATTGAGTCCTAGTATGTTGAGCTTAATCACTGTGTAAACAAGCAGCTATGTTTTTTTGCTGCTTATGTTGTGCAGGGGCCCTAAGGCTGTAGCTTGCTTTCTTGGCTCTGTAGCCTGGCATTGCAGTGTGCCTGGGCTGGGGTTTGCTCCTTTCCCTCAGGGAAAGGGGAGTCATTGCAGGTTGACAGTGATTCTCCTAATCATCATCTGACTGCTACCAGTTTGTGGTAAATGTCAAGATGTATTATCAAGAAATAATTCCTTTTTGTTGAAGTGTACTAAATAAGCGATGAAGATGAAAGCTTACTGCAGCAGCTCTTTTCATCTTTTTTTTTTAACCCATTACAGAGCAACTTCATATTTGAGCTATGCAGATGCAGTAAGACAGACATGAGGAGAAATGATTATAACTGGTAGTAGAGGAAGTTCTGTGTTTTACTGACTCTTTTTTTTTTTTAATAGATTTTCCAAACTATGATACTTGTTTTGAAAGTGGCTTCTCTCAAGATCCTACACGTTCCACCTTTCTTTGTGAATTTTTATACAAAGTTTCTTCTAATACTGCTAAGCTTCTTACAGAGAAGAAATTAAAAGAAGGTATTTCACTTTTGCTTTGAATTTGAATGAGTATGTATGGTATGGATGAATTTGATTCTGTTAAACTTATGTTGCTTTTTTAAAGATACATATGTCTTTGACATGGCACATGCTTTCTTGATCGTGTAAACCTCTTTCATATAAAGAAAATCATGACTATCTTGATCTCTATTCAGGGGTTGACAAAGAGAGAAAGAAGAAAACTAAAATACTGAAAAATGATTAAGTTAATTATTGATAAATAAAAATATTTTTCACTTCAGTGATATTTAGATAGATGTTATTAACTGCCAAAAAAGAGGGGGAAAAAGTTACAAATTTGAATTGGAAAGTGCTTGGCCTGAGAACTCTAATATATCTCAGCAATGTCTAGAAAGGTATTATGGGAAAAGGTCTTTTACTATTTAAAACACTTTTTTCCTATAGGAATAACTGTTTATACTTTCGTGAAATCTCATTAACATGAACTAATGTGGGATATGCACATTGCAGATCGTCAGGTATTGGCGGTAATGTTTTTTTCCCCCTTCTTACTGTCATTAGAAAATGTGATGGTTAGAGTAGCAGTATGTGGGAGATAGTTTCAGTTCCCTCCTCTGTCAGAGAAGATTCAAATAAGATGATCACGTTACCAAAGGAAGTGCTCTAGCTGTTTAGTTCTGGAGAGGGGGAATAAGCTCTTCTGTTGCAGTGGTTCTGACTTGCTGCTAATCAGTTTGGTTCTCTCTGGGCAGAGAGGGAGCACAACCCTCTACCTGGGGTCAGACCGCTTGGCTAAGCTTTGGGCCCTGCCCTGTAGTGTTGGGGTTTGGTTTGGTTTTTAATGCAGTATGAGGAAATGGCTGTGAGCCAGAATCCAGTTAAGCTCTCTTACCGTTAAATTATAGTTAAGTACTTCTCTGTGTGTGAATCTTCTTCTGAGGCACACCTCAGTCTTGCCTTTGGTGACAAGGGTGGAAAAATTTTAAGTGCTGTGTTTGTTGTCACAGAAATGGCTTTGTAGGCAGAGCCCTAATTGTAAATGGAAACTCAGGAAATCATTCAGTGCTGTGAACTGAACCCAGGTTTTATAATAATCAGACAGAGTACCTGGAAAAAAAAAAAAGGGTTATTTTTCATCATGTGGGTTTCAGAGAGTTAAGTAAGCCAACTTCTGGTATGCTTCCCATTATAGCAGAAGCAGTGGTTTCAGCAGGGATGCATAGCTTTTGGGGAAAGTGTTTGCTAGTTAGCAGCTGTTGATGAGCAGCGGGAAGAGAGATCAAATGTGGGTGCTATCCTGATGCAATACATCAAAAAATAAAGGTTAGAGCTTTGGTGGTTTCAGTTGGGTTTTGTCTCAGTTTTTAATGTAAAAGTTTTAATGGTATCCTATTAAAAGGCTTAGCATTCCAAAATTATCCTTGAGAGTTGTAACAATGCATGCAATATAAAGCAGTGAACTGCTTTGTATAATGGACACCCTTTGGGAACAGTGGAGAGGGAAGAAAGGGGCAGAAAACCCCCCCCAAAGACTCAAACCCTTCAAATCAAGTGTTGTGCTTAACTCCTCTTAACCTATATATTTTCAACACTTTTATCTTATGTTTATTTTAGTATTTATCTGTATTTGGATAGAATTTACATAAAACTAGATTGAAAATAACCTAAGAAAAATAGTAATAAATGAATAACAATCCAAAATAGTACCCAGGTATTTATAACATGTGAATGAACTATACAGCAATTTTGTACCAAGTAAACAAATCCGGCAAAATATCAGTTAATAAATCAAGTATTGGCTAACTAGAATAGTGGGAGGTGGTTACTGTTGTTGTTATTATTACTATTGTCCTCTAGAGCTATTTTACGAAATCATCGTGAATGCTTTACTAGAATGTATGCAGAAGTATAGGGATTTTAAGACGGTAGAAATAAACAGAGTATTTTCTCTTAGGACCTGCTTCTGTGCAGTACTGAGCATAGATGCACCTCAAACTATATTCTGAAAAACAGCTGTAAACTGAATGAATTAATATATTGAGTAGCAAATAGTCATTAATATGTTATTTTATATATTGTATTCCTGTTTAGGTTCCTGAGGTTCCTTCCCTCCAGAGAGGGAGTAAACATTTGATCTTAGTTAAGCATGCCAAATAGTACTTTTCAGTTGCTCTACAGATTTTTTTTTCTTCATCTTTTATGATTATTTTTTAATAAAAACATACATGATAATTTCTAGATAGTCTAACAGATCATCTCATTCAAAGCTATTTGAGGATGAAATTTCTTAACTTGAGATTTTTAACCATACTTAGCATCTGCAAATTGTTATGTGCTGAAAGCACTGTATGGATGTTAGCATTCTGTAAACTACGGTGTTGCTAAATGAATTTACCCTCCCCAGGGATATGCGTGAGTTGCCACAGTAGCAATCTCCAGATTGTTCTAATGTGAACATGCCATCCTGAAATGGCTGTAGGTACAGCCTGTCTACAGTATATCTATTTATCTAGCCCAGTAATCTGGGAATAAAGTCAGTACAATTTCACTATTTGACGTTTGGGCCTGCAGGAGGAGAGAACTGAGCTCGACCACTGATGCACCTTGAAAGGGTTGTTCTGGTACTATAGTTGCTGTGTGTTCTTCGGGTTGACAGGCTGTGCTGTTTCTGAATGGTATTCTTTTAATTTTCTTGATTTGTTTAAATAATACAAATTCTGACAGTGTTTTCCTTATGCTCCATAATAGTCTGCAATGGATATAAGTTCTTCTATGTATGACTTTATCTTTCTAGAGTATTTAAAAGGTTTAAATTATTTTCTTTGGTCTTGTGACAAAGAGTGGGCACCCTAACATCACCTAGCAGTGGAAAACAGATTGACTTCATCTTGGCCTCTGTTTCCAGCTAATGTGAAAGAAAGAGTAGCCCTTTTTTGCTGTTACATACAATGAGTCACCCATTTGTTTTGCAGTTTGCTGTCATGGGGACATATTGCTCTTGCAGTTTTAGGAATTTCTAACTTCATAGTGTGTTTTCTTCTTGCTTTCTTAACTCTCTATGCTAAACATATGATATTACGTATTATATCTTCTCTCATCAAGCTCTGTACAAACAAAAGTAAATACAGTAAAGTAAAAGCTCTGTACAATGGTAAAGCAAAATTTACAAAGCAATTTAATATACTCATTTTAATGAGTGCATTATATGTGAAATATTTTATTGAATTACTGTGTGCTAGAATTTCTGTAGATTAAGTAGTGTCAACACAGTTATTGAATTTTTGGTCTACTGAAGTCAATGGGACAGAGATTTCATCATAAATGTATTACTTTGCATCCCATGAGGCAGTTATTGAATTACTGTGTGCTAGAATTTCTGTAGATTAAGTAGTGTCAACACAGTTATTGAATTTTTGGTCTACTGAAGTCAATGGGACAGAGATTTCATCATAAATGTTTTATAGGAAGAGGTAATTTTTTTTGTTATAGCAACTGATTTTTCCATTATTTTTTTAATCACAGATTGCAACAGAAGATGGTGCACTTTAGAAAGTGGCTTTCTAAGCTACTATGAAAATGATAAAGCTACCGCTCCTAATGGAATGATTGACATCAGTGAAGTTACCTGTCTTGTAGTGCACAACTCAGGCTTCTTTTTAAGTAGAGGGTAGGTTCCAGAGTTGTTAATCCCATAAATGAATACAGTTGTTGTAACACTTCTGTTCTGGGGTTTTCACCATTGTTCATTTGTCCCTGAGTTTTGAACATGCATTTTAGAAAAAAGCTGAACTGTTTTATGTTGACTTCAAGAAATAAGTGCTAAGTGGTATTTGGGGACTTATTTTATAGTGATATAATGAAAATGTTAGGGTAATTTAAAAGGGCAGCATAAATTAGATACGTCTGTTTCTTATTAAAACTGTAATGCATATTCTCAACACTTAAAAGGTTACACAGTGATAAATTGAACAATTAATAGTCATTTTTCTTTCTGGGACTGACCTCTGCCTCAAGGTAAAACTCTTGCTTTGTTTCCTCCTGATAATAGAGCAGTTTAGAGTTTTCTACAATCTTTTTGGTTTTGGGCACGGATCTCTTGGCCTCTCGAACCGTTTCTTCGTTCTCCATCTGGGCACAACAGTGTAACTATTGAACATTCAGTTAGTTTGAAGACGGCGACTTTTTCTGGCTGCTTCTGCTCCTCAACTTCTCCAGCTTAGGCACAGGGGTAGATGCCAGGCTCCTTCAACAGAGAGAGGCTGGAGCTGTGAAACAAATATTCTGCCCCGTGTAGACTCCTTTTGAGGTGGTCTTCATGTGACTTTTTCTGTGGTCTTGTTTTACATCTCTCACACATACTGTCATCTGTCTACGATATTGTGAGTTTACAGGAATCAAGTATTGTCTTGAGTGTAAAATAGAAGGATGACAGATATTGAAATAAGATATAAATGACACAACAAATATTGGTTAACCTTTTGCACGCCTTTGAAAGTGAAAGTTTAAAGGAAATCATTTTGGTTTTGTATAAAACATTAATACAGAATAGAAAGTGTGTATATACACATGTGCATAGTATTATCAGAAAAAAAAGCTGGGTTTCAGTCCAGCTTTTCCAGCTAAGAAAACATCTTGATTCTCTGTAGTGCAAGCAATAGGCAATTGCACTGATTACAGGAATCTGAAAACCTATTATTATTTCCTATGGATATGGAGAAAATGACTCTTATCTCAGAGTCATGAGGAAAAAAAAAAAGTTTCCAAGAGTACTCCCCAACTTCTAAGAATTTTTGAAATATTAATTAGGTTTTGTGAGATGTTCAAATACTGCACCAGTGGGAATGGGTGCACATGAAGTTTCTGTGGGAGAGATGATCTCAGGTCTTATGACTTCTGAAGCTTTTGCAGAAAAAATGGAGGATAAAGAAGAAGAAAATTCCTGCCTTAGGAGTAACTATAATTGATGGACAGAGGTGGACAAAGGTATTTTGCTTTAATTCCAAAAGCTCAGTGGAAATATTTTTTAATTTTGTCCAAAGTATCAATACATAGAAGGAAATACAGGATGTGTGGTAGAGTAAAACTCTTGGAACACTGAAATTAATTGTCATTGTTCTCCTTAACTTTGCTGAGGCAGGATTTCAGCACTCATGTGCACGCGTGGATACTGTGGGTGACGGATTCCTAACAAACTGTAACATTTCTTTTTAATTTTTTTGTGTATGTGAAAAATAACAAACAGATCCCTGTACTGCAATGCGTAAAACTGCAAAGGGTGCCTGTGAAGGAATGGGGACTCTTCATTATGCCTCAGAAAAGGATGCTGTGAAGAAAGGACCTTAACTATTACAGAAATAAAGGGGGTGGGGAAGGAAGAAATCCTGACAAATGGTGATCCATCATCATACTATAAAATACAATGGAGATGATCTTCGTTATTCTGCAGTAGCATCCTTTAATGGTATCCAGAACAAGAAAATATCACTTTTCTCTTCTGTCATGGAATCTAGCCTATTGCTTTCTACATCTCCAGATGGTTGGATAATACCTAAATTAAAAACAGATCAGCTAAACACCTTGCTTTTGGGGAATGATGAGCACCCTGATGTGCTGTACCTGAGATATGTACTTGGATAGTTTTATGTTAAGCTTTGATAAATTCCATGTAGTGACTTGTGTAGTGAAATGATCTATCCTTAAAATGCTTGTTTTATTAGTCAGAATTAAGTATTTAAATGTAATTTTCAAAGTAGTCATTCAAAAGAAAGAATGATTCAGCTCTCCAGACTAGACAGTCAATCTCCAGTGTTGAAAGGAAAAAGCACACTCTAGCTAATTTAGATCTAAGGAGAGGTCGTAGGTGAATAAAACTGAAATGATAAACCGTAATTTATATACTAAAGGTTGACCCTAAGCCCAGGAAAGTATTTACTTTCTCAATTCCATGCTGGTTTCAAATGGTTTGTCATCTTGTCATTTCTTTAATACACTATGCTATTTTAGTATAATTTTTGTGATACTCATTACTTGAAAGTTACAATTGGGAAAAAATGGGTCCATTTTTAGAAAATAATGGTATATTAAAAAAGAAGCATATTTTAAGAGTTTCTTGAGCTACTGCAGCAACTTAAAAGGATAGTTAGAAACATGACAGAGCCAAACTCTTTTTGATAGTGGCAGGCAATATAAGTAGGGCAGCGGCCACAAATTGCCACTTGGGAAGTTCAGTTTGGAAGTCACAAGAAGTGTGTCTGTTAGAAGGACAGCAGAGAACTGAAACAGGTTGCCAAGAGAAACAGTAAAATCTCCATGCTTGAGGGTTTTCAAGACTTGGCTGGACAAAACCATTGGTGACCTGATTCAGAGTTAGTGATGGTCCTGCTCTGAGCATGAGATTTGACCAAATGACCTCCAGAAGTCCCTTACACCAACGATTCTGTGATTCTATGGTAACTAGTTTGCAACTTCCTAGTCAATTAAATGGTCTGTTTGTACTGAACCTAAACAAAATGTTTTAAAAGTATCACAGCAGTACTCTTGCTGAAATTGCATGAAATTGCAAAAGCAAATAAATCCCTCTGAATTTTAATGACTATATTTCAATATTTTTATTAATTTCAGAATTGAATGCACTAGCCTCTAAACATGCGTTATTGACCTGAAAGGTACTTTGATCATATTCTGTTATATATAAAATACCCTATATTATTAGGCAGGTTGTACATGTAACATCAGAGGAGAAAGCAGATGGATTCCATTCCATGGGAGTGAAACAATGAAACTATAGAGAGCGAATTTGAATTCTCGCTTGTCTACCATTATGAAGACTAAATACAGCTGCCTTTTTCCCCTTGCTTGCTTTAGGGACATCTTTACCTTTGAAATCTACTTAATATCAGAACGTGTTTTTCTGTTTGGAGCTGAAACTGCATATTCACAAAGAAAATGGACTTGGGCAATAGCTAAGGTAATGCTGATGATAATTATCTTTTCAAGTTAGACCAGGAGCCTTTACACAAAGAATAAAGTGGCATTGTTGGCTTAATATCTTCTGGGAAGCCATTCTTCATGAATATTGATCCATCTCATGTGTAAAGGATTCTTTTACAGAAGGAAGAAATAAATTATGTGATTTAGTGTTTGAAATGAGATAATAGAATGAAGCGGAAAAGGAATTGAAATAACATTTTAAAGCTGGCGTTAGGAGTATTTTAAATGTGCTCTAGTGTAAGAATAGCTGTTAATTTCAGTGGATAATGAAATGTATTTTGAGAGTTTTTCAGCTGTTTATAGTTGCAATTTGTATTTTTTTTTTAACCAAAACAAAATTCCAAAAGGAATGCTGTACCTCATACAGTACCAGATGCTAATAGTCATGTTACTAATAAAATTGGTCACAATTTAAAAGGAAAACATTTGGATTATACAGTGTAAACGGAGAAAAATGTTCTGTACTTGATTTTATAATTTAAACTTAATGTTTATATCATTTTATGAATAATAAATCCAGAAGTCATCTTTTAATGTAGGTTTCATCTTTGCATCTTATAGATATACAATATCTTGATTTTTAGGGAAA